CTGTATATTAATTTTTCTTCATTTTCACTGTAAAATTATTCATCTTATTTTAAAAATAACTCAGTACTAACTGAATATCCAATGCTATTTTACTAAAAAAAAAAACACATATGACCTACAGCAAAACAATAAATAAATCTCTGTCAACCTACCCCATAGGATTCCCAGGAATATCAGATAATAGTTGCCACACTAGGAGATGTGAGGCTCCATCTCTGGGTTCATTATCGTCTTCTGAAAACGTCGATGAACACAATAGAAACATGACTATTTGGATAGGAATCAGTATACAGGTGTTAGTGGTAGAGCAAAAGATAAAATGACCACATTTCCGTTACCCTAACTCATCACAATGATGTAAGGTTAGATAGCACTGCGACAGTTAACTTTTTAAAAGGTCCATCTCCCTGACAAAAAATTATATATAATTAAATAAAAAGGAAGAATATGTCTTTTTTGAACCATTGCTTGAGGCCCATATCATTTCTTTGTTAGTACAAATTCTCAATTAAGCCTTCCATATCATAAATATCAAAACATTTACAGAGCCCTATAGCGGAATATCGGATTTCCATAACACTAAGTTTGAAGCCAAGTTCCAATTGAAACCACTGAATAAAAATTCGCCATCTGCCTATCTCTTCAACTTCCACAGCTAGCCAAAAAGAGGCAGAAAGCAAATTCTCATTTGGCAATTGATGGCAAAGCTTGGCTTTGGGATTTTCGTTTATTCTTGATATTCGTGATTTGAATTTTCTATTGATCTCGTGATGTCTCTATAAGAAGAGTCGCCATCAACATGTCTTGTAGGGTTGTCCTTATAAAGGCAGAAGATTTCCAATGTTGCATTCTGACCAGGCTAGTACCACTTTTGGGCTCTGATATAATCCAATATAATGTTAGAGAGTTTTGAGACATCCTGCTCAAGTTATTGGTATACAAAAAAAAATTCAATGCCTACTTAGAAAAAACAGTCTTTGGTTTGCTAATATATAGCAGTTAGTAACAAGTTACTAGCTGGTGTCATATTTATTAACCAACTAAACATGGCTTATAGGTTTTTAGATCTAAAAACCAAAAAAATTTTAGATATTTTTCAACATAACCTGCTTGCATTGTATTTTTCCAGTGATGTTCAATACTTTTCAATACTGCCTGTGTGAAAGTAGTTTGGATTTGAATCGCTGGAGATTAAATCCATTTGGAAAAACGTTCTCAGGAAGTGTATTCCACACAACGCAGTTCTCCAGATAAAAGAGTTCTTAAACAGGGAAGTTCGAGGTGTACTAAGATGAACCTCAAACCAATGAGCAGCCACAGTCCGTCGCGTATTTCTGATATGTACCGCTCTTGGTGGAATCAAATATGCCAAGTCACTTGAACACATCCCGTTAAAGTATCTGTGGAAGGGAGACAAATCTCTAACCTTTCTTCGATATTCTAGGCTATCAAGGTTGCACGTGATGTTCGCGTCTCCAATCAGGCGGATGGCTCTTTTCTGGATGGAATCCAGCAACTTCAGGGTATGTTTGGGGGCGGAGCTCCATACATGAGAAAAATACTCCAAAAAAGGTCTGATTTGAGCTTCATAAAGCATCAAAAGTGGCTGAGATGTGGAGCAAATTTGATGAATAAGATACGTGAGAAGTAATTCAAAATATAAACAATTTTGGCCATCACTATAATGAATGTGTCAAATGGTGCACTCATTTTCTTCATGAATTATTTTCTTTTTTTAACAATTAAACCATTTTTCTTGTCATAACTGAAATGACTGTAAAATTTGAACATATACGCCATAACACTTGTGAGATTTTCACTGGACAGTTTGCAAAACTGCAACACGTGTTTCTCTATACAATAGCTTCCTTAAGCATTTTGATACTGCAGTGGAAATTTCACAATAAAGTGTTACTTGAATGGATTTTCATCAAGTATTGGCTAATTCCATCACATACGCCGTTGATTTTTTTCCTTTCTCCAGACACACGATCAGAGTCTCCACTCAATCGCTGCCTTAGGCAAGTGAATGATCTAATCGTGCAGTTTAAATAAAATCTATATATCTATCTAAAATGATGAAAAGTAACGATATGACTTGCCAACAGATAGAACTGTCTTGGCCTTCTTTGGAACTGATTGTCGTGTTCTTTGAATCCATTATTTTCTCCATTGGGAAATGAAATACGAGACCAATTTGCAAAACTTAGCTTCACTGGTGTGAAACATCATCCAGATGAGGGAACTATCTTCGTGAAGCTGTGTTTGTTCCATTACAAGAATACCACAGCTTTCTAATGTTTAGATTTTCAGTGAGCAATGTCGATGATCATCTTGAACAATTTTGTTGATTTTCTTTACCATTATTTTCACTTATTTGGTGACCACCGTACTACTTCATTATTAATATTATTTTTACCAAAAAGGTTATGCTAATCTGAATTTTTCACCGAAGCTCCGATACTAAGAATGACCAATGACCACTCCCCACACCATGAGGCGAACATTGAGTCAGAATCCTGAGAATAAACAAGAAAGGCACTCTTCTGCATTTGTCTGACTAAGACTATTGCTGAAGTATGGCAAATTACTATGATTTTGAGGTTCTAGATCAGGGACGGTATAATTCCAAAAAAAAACTCCTACAGATAAAACAACCATTTCAACAGAGTGACTGGGATAGAGTCTGCAGAGTTTGAAGTTATCCAAGGCTGGTACTTCCACCGGAAGAACTTTCTTCACACCAATCAAGATTATAGTCAAGTACTTTTGGGACTGAATACTCAGTTGTAGCTATACTTTTCTTTATGTGATATTGCTTTGTTCAAAAAATAAAGTGAATATTCAAATTTCGCGGGCATTCGAATAGCAATTTTTAATTTTTTTGTGTTGGTACACTCGTCTCGAACATATTTTCACAGTTTCAGCTGTCCTACAAGCTTTTCACAGAAATGTTAAGAAAGTGAAGAAAATTGTTATGAAGAATAATCATATAAGAGAAGTTGCTGAAGATATCGACATATCGGTTGGCTCATGCCATGCAATTTTTTCGAAAATTTTGGGCATGAAGCATCTGACAGCAAAGTTCCAAAATTGCTGAATTTTGACCAAAAAAGGCGTTGCATGAGCATCGCTCAGTAATTGTTGAATTACCTCAACGGCGATCCAGATTTTTAAATGGGTCATAGTCATAACTGGTGACGAATCATAGGTATATGGTATATGTGCCGTTTGCGAAAAACAATAAGAAGAAAACTTCCGGTACTATGGAAAAACAATTCATGGCTTATGCATCACGATAATCCACCTGCTCACTTGTCATTGCTTGTTCGTAATTTTTTAGCCAAAAACAAAACCATAATCATGCTTCAGCCACCAAATTCACCAGACTTCACCCCCTGCGACTTTTTCCTGTTGAATCAACACATGAAAAGACGGCGTTCTGAAACGATTGGGGAGATAAAAACCGAATCACTGAAAGAGCTCAAGGACATACTAAAAAGGACATATCAGAACTGCTTCGAGGATTGGAAAAAACGCACAAGTTTATTATATCTGAGGTGGACTACTTTGAAGGAGACCAAAAAAAATTGATGAATAAATAAGTATTTTTCAAGAAAAATGAAATTTCACCCCACTGTTTTTGAACAAACAGCTTATGTAGTATCATGCTAAAATCCGTTCTTAAGTTACTAAACGATCAGAATCTAATTTACATTCTTTGAAATCTAATTTAATTGAACATTTCTGTTTTCAAGTGAGAGGATTGAAAAAATGTGGTCACTTTGAATTAGTTACCTCTGAACAACTATATAATAATAAACTTTATAAAATTTCATTGGCAATGTTTGTGGTGTAACTTAAAATTTGAATCCTGAGCAATTTAGTCAAAATTTACAGTATAATCAAATCTTTTTGTTTCAATATACAATTTTTCAAGATATAACTTTAAAATGAACTGATTAATATTTATATTTTTCCTGTCAGGTAAGAAGAAAAATTACCAAATAAAATGTTAAAATGCTTTTACATATATTTCAAAATGAAATCAAAAATGCAATGTCAGAAAATCAAAACAAATACTATCTTTGAGAATATTGTTGGAACCTATTCCCCAGCAGGCTTTTTATGGACCATTTTAGCAGTATTTATAACCTATGAAAATCACAAAGGAATTCTTAAGTGAGGGATCTTACTTATTTTGGACAGGATAAAAAGTGACAGCATTCAAGTGAATGAGAACTTCATACTGTTGCCTCAATTTCATATTCTTATGTGATTAACAACTAAGAAATGGTTGAATGAAAGATATACCATGTGAAATTAATATATTATAAAAGATATTGCAACCTATTACGAGAAATTGAATATTTTCTGACAGAAAAATTATAAATTTCTTATTCTGAGTACGATGTTATTCAACATCGGTCTATTATCTAGATTTATTTCATCATATGTCAAACCCCATGGTATCTTTTCATTTTTCAAGAAAAAAATTGCTGAAAGAAAATTTTGTCCATGTATTCCCATGTTGAAGACAGAAATTAAAATTACAACATTTTGTTTTTCCATACATTGAAAGTGTAACTTCTATTTTGTTTTATGGAATTTCAATACGGTACTCTTCTGTTTAAATCTAAGTGTTATCACTCTGAAGAATATAAAAGTATTTCACGATGAAATGACGAGTGACACCCAATTAGTTATCTACCAACTTGCCAATTAATGAATGAAATAAATCAAAGTTAAGTATGTCAATTAAAATGTAATATCAGGAATCATGAGACACGAATGTTAATAACTATAAAACACAATATTAGCATAATCACATTTCTCAAATTTACATATAGGAACTACCTTCTATTCCCAGGAATCCTTTTTCTTACAAAGAGTTTCTAAAAAAAACTTTCTACTAAAGCAAAAGTATCATGGGACAGTGCATGCAGAAGAAAAAAATAGTGACTAAGCCAAAAGTACCCAAAACATGCAATAAAACTCACCAATCCTAAAATCTACGTATCCTTCCCCACCGGAAATGACCAGCATAGCCGACGGTTGTTTCAAAGTATTCCCGGTAGATGATACTGAAGCAGACATTGCTTCAGAAGGTGTAGAAGCTGCACTCATGCCTACAAAATGTATATATTCGAGTCAAAGGAAAATAAAAAACAAAAATATTACGAGTATTAGAGGCCGCATAAATTATGGCAAAACACAGTTGGTTGTTTGATTCCGAAATACAGTAGGAACTAGAGAATCATTTATTATTTGGGCTCGTAGCAGTGTTTACTTTGTATATTTATTTATACGGGTAATCCCCATGAGGAAAAATCAATAATACAAATACAGTATTTCCTTAAAACTAACTTAAACTTGATATATGTATAAATGTATCAATGTAAATATATAAAATTTAAATGATATGAACCTAAAATCATCATGCCAGTTGGTTATCTCTACCTATAATGTCGCAATTAAGACGGTTGGCTTCTCGCATAAACCTCGACATGGGTGAGAAGTATCTATGGTTTGTATGGTGATTAGGGACAGGAAAAAGATTATTGTTCCTAGTTGAAAGAACAGGTACTCAGAATGAGACTTCATGTAATAGATCATTACAATTAATGTCACCTGATAAGTGAGGCAATGATATCGTTATTTGTTCTACGAAAAAAAAGGGTGTGAAAATTCGCAATATCAAGTATATCCTTATAATTATATTCTCCAACTGTGAGGTCAGAATTGAAGGCAACAGGTCTGAGGAATAAATTTTGCATTGCTTCAATATTATTTATATGTACAGTATAATGTGGACAGATTGGTGATGCATACTCCAGAATAGATCTTATATAGGCTAGGTAAAGAATCCTTTCAATTTCGGAAGAGAAAACCAAGAAGTTTCAGAGCTTTATTGATGGTGGTGTTGATGTGGGTGATGGATGAAGAAAGGTTCATATCAAAGATTATACCCAAATCTTTTATTTCATTGAGCCGTTTTGAAAAGACATTGTGAAGAACATAGTTGAATACGATTTTGTTATTCACTCTAGCAAACGTTATACAGAAGCATTTCCTTTGATAAGCAGATATAACTTCAGGTCATCAGCAAACAGCAAGAATTTGCAGTAAAGAATTGAATTGCCAACATCATTTATAAATAGGGTTAACAGCAGGGGTCCCAAATGAGAGCCCTGTGGCACTCCAGAAGGTAGATTCATTCTGATTCAAAGTTTTTCATTTTGACTACCTGTGACCTGTTCTTGAGATAATCGCCTATCCAGTGAGTAATAAAATAGGAAAAACCTAAGGAAACTAACTTCTGTAACAATAGATTACGATTAACACACTCAAAAGCTTTACTAAAATCAGAATAGATTGCATCAATTTGTTCGTTATTTCCATTTGATTATAGTTATTTCATTGTTTGAGATAACGTTTAAAATATATAAGAAAATGTTCTTTCGAAAA